CCCCCCCCCCCCGTTGCGGCGGTACCTGGAGCTGCGGGCGGGAGGGGAGGGGGCGGCTCCCGCTGCCCGTTTCCTTTCCCGCTGCCCGTCCCGGATCCCGTTCCCGATCCCTGTTCCCGGTCCGATCCCGATCCCGGTCCCGGTCCCGCTCCGGCCCCTCCGCGGCGCCGCTTCCCCTCCGCCACTTCCTGCTCGGCCCCGCCCGCCCCGCGCGCCCGCCCCGCACCACCATTGGTCGAGCCGACCGCCACTCATCCCAACTCGCCTTTCTATTGGTTCACAGGGCTGTCGCTCAAGAGGGGTCGCCGCCGTCCGCACTCGCCATTGGCGGAGAACTCCCCCGCGCTCATAAGAGGGTGACGGTGTCAATCACCACGCGGGTCACGCCCACAGCGCTGCTGAGCTTCTGATTGGTTCCGGTGCTCTCTGTTGATTGGCTAAAGGGTTGTCCATCAACTTAACCCGCCTCTTCGCGCTTCTCATTGGTCAGGCTGGGCAGTCCGTCACGTTCAGGCCGTGGCCGCCATTGAGGCTCGGAAGGTTCCGTCAGGGCTGCTCCTGGTTGGGAGTTTCCTGTTGGTCTCCACACCTGTCACTCAGCGCCAGGAACCGCCCCCCACCTGTCCCAGACGGGGTTCAACCTCCTCCTCCCATTGGCTACCGGAGCTGTCACTCAGGCGGGTCAGTGGGGCTGTCCCGCCTCGCTCGGGACGCCATTGGTGGAGAGCCCTGTCACTCAATCCCATCCTTCGCTCTCTTCGCTCCCCATTGGCCAATCGAGCTGTCACTCAACGCACACCCCCCGCCCTCCTCCCCACCCCTTGGCCCGTGCCAATCACAACATCCGGTCCTTTCCCCGTCACTGATTGGCTGCTCCCGATGTCAATCGACAGCCAAGCCCCGCCCCCAGATCTCGCTGTAAACACCGCGCGTGGCACGCCGGGAGTTGGCGCAGGGGGCGGGGCTTGTGACACCAGTATGGGGGGTCCAGGATCCCTGTTCTCCCAGTCCAGGGAATTCCCGGGGTCCAATCCCAAACCCCCCAGGCTGAGGATCCCCTCCCATTCCCAAGGCTCATCCCAGGACACGCCATGCCGGAATTCCCTGGGAAAAACCTTTATTGTCCCATTCCAGCAGATCCAGCAGATCCCACGTGGGGGGGATCATTTCTTGTCCTCCTCCTTCTTGTCCTTGTTTTCCTTGGAAGCCTGCGAGGCCAGGGATCCCATGGCATTCCGGATGGCCTCGTTGTTGGGATCCACGCCGGGCAGGTTCTCCAGGACGCTCTGCAGGAACTCGGGGTCCTGCATCACGTCATAGTCGTCCTCCTCCTGGGGGGAAAGAGGAATTTGGGATCATCCCTGTCCTTGGGAGAGGACTTGGGATCACCCGGGACCCTGAATTACAGGGAGGGATCACGGGATCCAGGGGGATCGGTCATGGAATGGGATGGGTGGGAAAGGAGCTGAAGGATCATCTCATGCGATGGGGTGGGATGGGGTGGGAATGATGGGATGGGAATGATGGGATGGGAATGATGGGATGGGAATGATGGGATGGGAATGATGGGATGGATCCCCCCAGGCTCACCTTGGCAGGCTCCGAGGTGTCCATGGCAGAGCTCTCCACCTCGGCCGCCTCCGCCGGGGCGAACTCTGGGGTGGCAGAAGGAGCAGCTCAGGAAGGATTCCCAGCCCACCCGTGCCCTCCCCTGCTCCCAGGGGATCTCCCAGGGTTTTTTTTCCCCTCGGGAATGGCCTCACCAGCCCCCTGCAGGGACATCTGCATGGCGTAGGCGATCTGCTCCTCCTCCGTCATGGAGCTGAGGTCGGGCAGCCCCGCCCGGCCGAACTCCTGCTGGGTGATGGTCATCTTGAGCAGGGCATCGTCCGACTCTGGGGGCACAGGGACACTGAGGGCACTGCCAGGGACCCACAGCGACACACAGACCCCACAGGGACCCACAGACCCCACAGGGGCACACAGGGACCCACAGACCCCACAGGGGAACTGCCAGGGACCCACAGACCCCACAGGGACCCACAGACCCCACAGGGCCACAGAGACCCCACAGGGCCACACAGGGACCCCACAGGGCCACACAGGGACCCACAGACCCCACAGGGGCACTGCCAGGGACCCACAAACCCCACAGGGACACACAGGGACCCGCAGATCCCACAGGGACCCACAGACCCCACAGAGGCACACAGGGACCCACAGATCCCACAGGGACCCACAGATCCCACAGGGACCCACAGACCCCACAGGGACCCACAGACTCCATAGGGACCCACAGACTCCATAGGGACCCACAGACCCCACAGGGGCACACAGACCCCACAGGGGCACACAGACCCTACAGGGACCCACAGCCCCCTCAGGGACACTGTGGGACCTGCCAGGGACCCACAGACCCCACAGACACCCACAGACCCCACAGGGGCACCGCCAGGGCCCAGCTGAACCCCTGCTGGGTGAGGATCACCTTCATCGTCCGACTCACTGCGGGCACTTCTGGAGCCCTCCCAGAGCCTCCCCACCCTCCCAGGGCAGGATTTATCCCCAATCCCCGACCCAAACCCGCCCTCCTGGCCCCCCCAGCACCCCCCCAGTCCCCTCCAGACCCCCCCAGGCCTCACCATCCCCGGCGGTGGCCGCGATCCCAGCCTCGGCAGCCGAGGCGGCCGCTGCCCTTCGAGCCTCCTCCTCCTGGCGCTGCCTCTGCTCCTCCATCGACACCCTGAGGGCCTGGGGGGACACAGGGGGGGTGAGGGGACACAGCTGGGACACCCTGAGGGTGGCAAAGCCCTCCCAGCCCACCGAGCCCCCCCTGTCCCCACCTTGTCACTCAGTGCCACTCAGTCCTCGGGCACCTCCAGGGGGTGGGGACTCCAAACCAACCTGGGCAGCCCCTGCCAAAGCCTCACCACCCTTTCCATGGGGAAATTCCCGCTGATTCCCAACCTGACCCTCCCCTGGCACAGCTTGGGGCCGTTCCCTCTCCTCCTGTGGGAGAAGATCCTTGGGATCCCCCCTCCTGCCAGGGAATTCCAGAGAGCCACAATATCCCCCCCTGAGCCTCCTTTTCTCCAGGCTGAGCCCCCCCCCAGCTCCCTCAGGAGCTCCTCCAGAACCCCCCTCAGGGTCGTCCCTCCCCAAAATCTCACCAGGGCCAGCTCGGGGTCAGCGCTGGGGTCCACCCCGAACTCGAAGTCGCTGGCGCCCAGGCCCAGCATGGCCCCCCCCTCGCCCGCCAGGATGGGGGAGCTGATGAGGGCGTCGGCCAGGCTGGGCCCGGGGGGCACCGTCACCAGGTGGGAGCCGCTGCCGTCCTTGCCGTTCAGGGCGTTGATGAACGACGTCAGCTTGTCCGTGTTGGCCTCCTGGGGGGATGTGAGGGGGCACTGAGGGATGGGGGGGGGGGGCGGGGGGGGGGGGGCACTTTTTTGGGGGGTGGAAAAGACACACCACCCCCCCACCCCCCACCCCGAGGTCACTGGTCCGAGCGAGAAACACCCGGAGCGTTCCCGAGGGGATGGGGAGGGGATGGGAAAGGGATGGGGAGGGAAGAGAAGGTTTGGGAAGGGAAGGGAAGGTTTGGGAAGGTTTGGGAAGGGA